GTCTTTGATCTTCCGTTTATGTAGCATACAGAGTAACAGCAACACTAAAGCTGAGGTAAATTTGGTCAAAAACAGACCTGCAGATCCCTGTAAAGCCAAATTGGATGTATTTTCCTGCAGCAGTTTGAGAAATCCTTGAATCTCCTGTGGTCATGTGGAGCTGCCTGAAAACTTGCTGGTACAAAACTCTGCCTATTCATACAAATCTCCTCCGTGGTGCTCAGTCTGCAGCCAAGCGTCTGCCCCACAGAGCACCCCTCCCCTGAAACGTTGTGAAGACGTGCTGAAATGGGAGTGTCAGAATCAGTAGGAGCTTCTTAAAGAGACAGAGGCCAATTTCAAGGTGTTTATATAGACTACAATGTAAAGTCAAATACAGCATTTTTATAACAACTGAAGGTTACAGTTACTTGATTGTGGTATAGAATAGAACTGTCTGAAAAATACATAATACCACCACTTTTAAATCCAAACAATGTGCTTCACACTCCGCTCTCCTCCAGCTTCCAGAGTGGTCCATTCTAGTTTGATAGAGGAATTTACGACTATATAGCTGCTCAGAAATGTTTTTTTTTACAAATTAATTAAAAGATGTCAAGAAGGGAAGACTTGTCCATCCAGCCTGACATGTCTGATCCAGAACCAGATCTGACCCAGAGCCAGAGGAGAATGAAGACCACCAAATTGTAGTTGTTAAGTTCAGACCTTATTTGGCAGCTCCGTAGTGTATTCTGTGAAATAATAGTTCAGAAAATGAAAAATATGACTCAAACAGAAAATAAAGATTACACAGTACCAGGAGAAACTAAATTGAAATTTTCTGCCTCCCAGAGACTCCAAAAATGTATTTGACAGCTAAAAAAGTGGATTTTTCATGAAATGYCCCCTTTAAAGAGTTCAATAATGACAGAAACTAAAAACCTGACAACATGCAGCAAAACAGCACATCTGAACTGAAATAAGTAACTAAAACATATTCTTGTTCTCACTGAGACAAGCCCGGGGCCGTCCTTGTAAATCCAATCACATTAAGTCATTCATGGACTTCTAACAAACATCATGCAGCTCAGCTGGAGAGCAACAAAGGAGCACAGCAGCACAAAAAGGGAGAGTTGCCCTTTACATCTCTCTCAATATCATACTGGTGTCGCAGCAAGTACGTTCAATAAAGAGCTTATGTCAAAATGTAATTATTCAGTGCTGAAATGGATTACCAAGGACCTGGGTCATTAACAGCAGTTCACACTCCACACCCTGTGAATAACACCAAACAGGCCTTGGAAACTGGAGGGTGTGATGACCTCTGTGAACAACCAGAAGACGACAATGGATGTTTCATTTCCTCTGATTAATCACCAGCCTGAGTTAATCTCACACTTGTTGGAGGTCGCTCCTCCGCCGGYTGATGAGAATTAACATATTTGCCGGCTGAAATGCTAAACACCGTTTCCTTTTACACTTCGCCAATCAMTGCAGCCAGAGGAAGCAGCTCAGTTTTAACAAATAAATGTTTTGTTTTTGCAGTCATTTCTCTTTTTCCTTTTCATCAAGTCGTTGTTTTTGTCTCAGAGTTTCCATTCATTGTGGACATATGGGATTCAGGAGTGGTGTGTGGAAAGTGGCTGAAGGAGATGTTGTGCCCTGAATAAAGATGCTGCCTCTGGGGTTCATTCAGTCTGAGAAGCTGTCATCCCATGTGTCTGCTTCTCTGTCTGAAGCAATTTTATGTCCAAGGTTTGTTAAAACATTTCAATAAAAAAGCGTGCAAACAAATTTCCCTGCGTAAGTGATKGTTATTCGTCAAAAATACAACAGGCTGTACGTGACTGTAGTGCTGGCATCAGCAGGGTTTGACCTCCTGCRGCTGAAAGGCTCCTCCAAAAACATCTCAGGAGGTCTTTTAACCAAGTCAGCGGTTTACAATTAAAGTCAACATGAACATTTTTACATYGAGTTTGGAGAGAAAACATTTTTTTATATATTGTTTAATTTTTCTTTTTGCAGCTTAGCTCTGTATTTTAGATCTGTCACTRTGGTAACAGCTGTGTTTATGCCAGAGTTGCCTGAGGTGAAATTGGACCAGGAGAGCACATGGATGAGAGGTAATGCATTTGCAAACTATGAGATGGAGGCAGCTTGTTTTTGTTTATTTATTTTTTACCATAGAGGACAAAAAATATGATCATTCTGTTTTCTGCTCTTACAAACCTCAAATGTAAAACAACCCCGGGAGCAGATTACCCATCGTTATTACCCACTGCTCAATGCAAAAGTGCAATATCGTTTTTCTTTTGTTTGCAGTGTTAGCAAAATTTCACATGAACCACTGGAAGGATTTTACCCTCTCAAATTAATATTGACATCAGATTAACTGTTGAACAGTAGTTAWAAAAGTTCAAGAGGGCTGCCATAGCCAATCAACATTACCTAATAACTCATAGATACTGAGTTAAATGTTGGTGTGGTAGTAGCCAAGAGTTATCCCCAACTAATACTATGAGTGTCAACTGATCAAGCAAGATCAGTTTTCAAAACTGCAGTTGTGGTGGCAAAAGCAGAAACACGTTGGAAATAATGCCAAGAAAAGTCTGCGCCAAATGTACTGTTCAGCCAGTCACAAGGCTCCCACCAGTCCATCATGGAGTCCCGTTGTCCAGACAACGAGAGCGTAACGAGCTATCAGAAAGATACAGGATGAACAGTGTCAAGGGAAAACAGATAAATATTTAGTCCATGACAGCAGTGAACTCTGTTAGTGAAATATCTGAAGAACCACTGGACAGATTTAAATGAAACTGTCAGTAAATAATAAGAGAATAAAGGAGCATAAAAAGGCTCTAACTCAGTCAGTTTTACAGATACTGAGTTAAGGTTTGGGTAGTCGCCAAACGTCACCATCAACTTATTTGCTGGGTGCTAACAGATCTTTTGGCAATATAGTGTACTTAAATATGCCAAGGAGGAGCAAAAAGTTTAGTATGTGCCATAAGGGGATGGATGACATGAAGCTGAGAACAAAACGCATGCAGCTACACCAGGGAAAGTCAATTCTGGTCCACGAGGTCCGCAGCCCTGCACATTTTACTTGTTTCTCTTCTCCAACACACATGATTTGAATGAATGGATGATTTTCAAGATTCTGCAGAACTAGGAAGAGGTAATTCATTGACTGAATCAGGTGTGTTAGAGAAGGGAAAAAAGTAAAACATGCAGGGTTGTGGACCTCGAGGACCGGAATTGATGATCCCTGAGCTAAACTATATTGCAAAAATCTTTGCTCACCCATCCAAATGACTGTGCACCAGTGCACAAAGCAAGGTCTATAAAGGGATGCTATGAATGGCAGAGTCTGGTGTGAATTAACTTGATTGGCCTGCACAGAGTCCAGACCTCAACCCAATAGAACACCTTTGGGATGAATTAGAGTGGAGACTGAGAGCCAGGCCTTCTGTCCAACATCAGTATGTGACCTCACAAATGTGCTTCAGGAAGAATGGTCAAAAATCCCCATAAACACTCCTAAACCTTGTGGACAGCCTTCAGAAGAGTTGAAGTTGTTCTAGCTGCAAAGTATGGACCAACATCATATTGAACTCTATGGATTAGGAATGGGATGTCACTTAAGCTCATATGAGTCAAGGCAGGTGAGTGAATACTTTTAGCAATATAGTGTATGTCCAGTTAGATGGACATGTGATACATATCACATGTCCAGACTCGCAGACTTGTGAATTAAATTGAAATTGTATCATGACAGACTTTATGATGGAAAAGCATTTTATCGTCATCCAAACAAATTGATATAATATTGTATTGTGATAAAAGGGCTGATTTACACCTTTAGTGTGCACCCTGAATGTTTCTAGTTAGTGTGTATTGTAAATGCACACTATTGAAATAATGTTTGGTCTTCCTATGAAATAGTTTGCAACTTAACTACTCCTGCAAGCTTGATGCTTTTGCAACCATTCAAACTTCTAATTATTAAGATCTTTCAGAAGATGCCTGCTATGAATTTTGGTCTTTGTATTATTTACAGTTAATGAAATAATAAACTTTATTTGAGCTTCTTTAGGATACATTAGAAACATGTCACGTCAGCAGCTTGCTGTTGGTCCAACACTGCCCCTGTGTAACAGTGTTATGATGGAAGTTCTGAGATTCCTGTCATACTTTCATTAGTATCAAATAATCTCTAATTAGCAGCCAACAAATGTCAAGCTCTCTCATTATGGTTTCCATGCTACTTTTTGCCAATTTTCCACCTTCTGCCTCTACTTCTTCAGCAGCACTGATTAAAGCAAAGAATAGAGATTGTGACTGTAATACCGAACAACACTTGACTATTTTGCAAACTTTGTTTTTTAATTTTATGCATACATATATTTTATTTGTTTACTTTGTTTATTGTTCGGTGTTGTTATGTCAAGAGTAGCTGCATGCAGGATGCTGGGTAAAGATGCTCAACACACCAGAAAAAAGAAAAAAAATGGGTGGATGTGCTCTCAGGGAGCACATAGCATAGAGGATAAGTTACTGCATATGGATCACAGGGCTGTGGTTCAAATTCCACCTCAGTCTGCTCCAACATTAAATAGGTTGGATGAATTGTTTTCTCACAMACAAAAATAAATTTTGAARTGTTTGCATGTGACCTAATTAGCATAATTAAAAACATGCAAGCTCAGTTCTCAGGTACAAACAATCAAGGCTACAGAGCTTCTCATCAAGAGCACAGCATGGATGTTAAGCTCTTATCTCTCAACCAGAAGATCCATGGTTCAAATCCCAACATGACGTAGTAAGAAAATRAACAGGTAAAAGACACAAAGCAGTAGATTGTGTAGCAGTAAATGCTTAGAGTTGTATTATGTTGTTGGACTTTTRGGGAATTTAGATGGCTTTTAATAATGCATGATATTTGACTTATTTGCAGTAAATGATTATRTTTTATGTCTAATTATATCAAATAAGTTTTATGTTTTGTTTTTTGGTTTTAGTGTTATATTTGCACATACTGTTTATTACTGTATGTGTAGCCTTTTGGCCAATGGCAATGGCAATGGCTTGATGCATTTTCAATGCACACTTATTTTTACAAAGAAAAACATTTTTTCTAGTTATGGTTTTCTGTAGCTGTACAGTAGATCCTTGTGTTTAGTTCTGTTACTGGTGTTCTTATCAGATCCGTGTTTTTGTTTGTCCCCGTGCTACCTCTTACTTCTCAGTCAGTTTCTCAGTGTTTTTCTCAGTCAGCCTGTCACTCTCACCTGTTTCCTTCTCTGCCCTATATATTCAGGCCACATCTTTCTATTCACTAGCAGTGAGATATTGCTTCCTACATCACAAGTCATCTTGGTGTCTCCACTTTGTGTTCCTGGCAACTCCCATTTTTTAAAATTTGGCTGCGTCAACAGCTTTTTGTTTTTATCGAAGAAGTTTGTTTTTTTCTGAAACCCTCAAGTTTGTCTACATTCTGGGTCCAGTCCTCCACTGACTGCAACAAAATGCTTATAATGAGCCTAAACTAAAAAAGTAAAAATAAAAACATTGGTGGTTCATGTGAATTCCTATATGAAATGATATATTTGAGGTCATTCTTTATCCTACATATTTTTTATTAACTTTCTATATTTACTCTACCTGGGGAAAAAAGGTATCTGATCAGACTCAAGTTCAATCTGCAGCAAACAGAGCAGCAGTAAAAATAAAAATAAACATTATCCATGATTTGAACAAAGTCTTGCTCTTTGGGAGATGGTTAGAGATTACATCAAACTTTAATCTACAGTGCCTGAAATTCACTTTTGAATGTGTGGGTAAATCCACCTTACCTATTTCAGAGCAGGGGGATTTACTCATTTTGAGGGGATAATTACTTAAAAGCACAACTACAGAATCAGATTAATATGCTGCTTTCATTTGCCTCCTTCACCCTTCATGTCTGTTATCTTAGCAGCTCTCTGGATGTCTGCAGCAGGAGCTGCTGAATAACTCTTGTCCCTTTATCATGTTGCAGAGATCAAAATACRTCCAAGTATGTCTTTTTAGGGATTTAGTTTCAAAATAATCTCTTGTTATGATCGTATCCACTCCGCTGCATACTTTTAGCTAGTCTCTGAGCCAATATAGTTTATTTCATCTTCTGCACGTACTGTATACAGAGTAAGGAGCTTGTGGGGCAACAAACAAACAAACAAAAAACACTGTAATTTATTGTATTTATCAAAACAAGATTTGTGCAATATCCACTATCCCGCAGTGAATTTCAGGTCCTGCAATACTTTTGTGTTCAACTAATTTAAAAAAGGCTTCTTTTTTAAAAGAAAGTAACTTTTATTTTACTATCAGTAGCTAGTGTTTGTAAAATTATGTAACAAAAAGGATTACACACAAGGTAAAGCAGGAAGTGCCAGCTGACGGCATAGTACTGAACCAGGTGAGCTGTGATGTGTGTCGACGTGTGGGGGGCAAAGGTCACCAGGAGGTACGTTCCTGTTACTGCCAAGCTGCCACCTAAAAAAAAAAAGACCAGAGAGATGTTAAATATGGTGAAACAGCTTATTTGAATAATTTCACTGATTTTGCTGATTGATCACCACTTTGGCTCATTATTAGTCATCATTTATAAAGTCCAAGACTCATATTTCATAATTACCTCCTCTGTAATTTAAAATGAAAGGTACCAGTTTGAATTTTCTTGAAAGCATTTTGAGTCCTTAATTCAAACAGCTTAAATGATATTTACGTCTTTTTTTCTATTTGCTAAGCTTGCACCAAAGTTTAAAAAAGGAATTGCAAAATGATTATAAAAAACAAATAAACATCGTGTTGCTAAAGAAAAGTGGAACATATTGCTGCTGTTAACTTATTTACCTTTTAATATACACACCAACTTATAGGTGTGATGCTTTTCAGATTGAAGCTAAACACACCTTACATTCACACGTATGTTTCAAATACATCTTGACTGTTTCAAAATGATGTCAGAAACATAAATTACATTTAAAATTATATTGTGTAAATTTGGTCTTGGCAAAGTGAAAATCAACTTTCTTCTCTTAAATATTTCTGCAGTTAATTATCATTGCCTACTGCCAAAAAGCTGACAATAATTTCATTTCATTTATTTATTGAAAAGGACGATGCACATTAATCAATATTATGTGAATATAAATGCGCTGGAATTAGCACAGCTACATTTCATCCATTGTCCTGCGCAGATAAAAAGTAACAGTTTATAAAACAAGTGCACAAAACAGACAAAATTTAACACTGTCCAACAAACACCTCTGACTACAAGGTACACAGTTAAATTAATTTAGGAATGAATGCATGGCTGATTTTCTTTAAGCCAAACATTAAGTTTCTTTTAAAAAATGGAATAACTGTCATAGTCTCTGATATTTGCGGCAGTTCATTCCATAAGTGTGTTCCTCTGATTGATGTCACCTTTCGCCCAAACAAAATAACGTTTCTGCTTGTCTCTCTGTGTGCGTTTATGTGTCTGTTAGCAAAATATCTCACAAAACACAGGATGGATTTCAACAAAAATTTTTTTAGGAAATAATCTTTGGATGTAGATCTGCAGGAAATTGTCCATTCAGAGACAGCTCAATTTAAAATGGTCACTAAAGCCAACTGACCTAAAAAAATTCAGTCAGTATTATCTTAAAGGTTTGTGAGGTAGTATGAGTACCAACACATACTCTGTGTACTACACAATGCACCAGATCTTAGCTTCAAAATGTAGCATTAATTGTTGAACTCAACCTGCTGCTATGGATACATTTGAATGAAACTTTCTTAAAGTAATCACTGGATGTGTGTTAATAACTGAATAGCTTTTGGAGGTAATCCAATTTAAGATGAACACCATAGTTAACTGACATTAGACAATAGAAAAATGGCTAAAAGTCCATTTTACAGATATAAAGCTAAAATTTGATGTGGTCGAAAAATTTTATCTGAGTCATTCACAACACATGCTTTGGGTGTGTGTCTGGTAACAGCGTATGAGATTGTTGCATGACATCATTGTCGAGGTTTGACCTAAACATATAGAACTCCGTCATTTCTCATCATAATGTGGTCTGAGTCTAAAATCCCAGCTATAAAGGCAGTAGGCGATATGAATTTCTTGAAGGAATGCTTTTAAAGTTCCTGTGGGATGCTTCTTCTACAACTACAAAATATGGAAAAAAAATCACATAAAAATTTGGCGTAATACACATGATTTTACCTATTTTGTCACATAACTGCCATTTATTTATTGGAACTTGGCGCAACCAAAGTGAAACAGGAAGTGAAGGGGAACTTCCTGGTCTTTGTTTATTGAAACATTATTATTTGAACACGGACTCTTTTTCATCTCTCTGATTGTGACTCAAAATAATCTAAAGAAACATCAGATTCTTCCCTACAATCTGTGTTGTTAGCCACTGTAGCAACATTGTTTACATGCAGGCGTTCCTCGAAGTCTTTACTTCTTTTTACTGAGAATATCTCAACTGTTCATCCCAGTAGCAAGATTTTTTTGCAATATGTGATTAATGTCATCTTTCCAGTAATGCATTTTTTATTTATAACAAAAATCTGATGTCACACTAATGTTAATTCCATTATATTTTTACTACAGTAGATTCTAATAGAACTG